TAAGGTAAGGAATGTAAAAAATGGGCCTGGAGCATCTTGCAATAAAGAAGTAAAGAAATGGTAACAAAACAAATAAAAGCAAAATATATTACAATAATGGGGTATAACAATCACAAGAACTAACTGAGAGCTCTAAATCTGGAACAATTTGAGCAACAAAGAAAATTATATAGTATTAAATTATAACCTAAAGTATAAGATAAATATTCTTTAGTCCATACTGATATAAATGACTAATTGAATAAATAAATAAATAAATAAGGAACAAATGACAAATTTCCAGCAGAAAAGAATTCTGAAAATTTTCTGAAGTTACTAACCTTCCAGGAGATGGAGCATAATTCCCCATCCCTTAAGTGTCAGATAAGCAAAGTTACTTTCTTCTAAAAGAGCTTTACAATTGAGTAACCTGACAAACACTATCCCAGCCATGTAATAAAGGTCAGCACCAGCAGTGATGTTATGTTGATAGCATAGCATATACCCTTGATGTGAATTAATAAGAATGGAACTTAACCTCTGTGGTCTTCATCCCCAAACCACAGCCACTGCATAACAATAGAAAAATATCAGATCAACCCAAAGTGAATGGCATTCTAAAAAATACCTAACAAGTACTCCTGAAAATGGTCAAGGTTATCAAACGCAAGGGAGGTCTGGGATTTCCCTGGCAGTTCAGTGGTTAAGACTCTGCGCTTCCATTGCTGAGGGCATGGATTCCAGTCAGGGAACTAAGATCCCACAAAAAAAAAAAAAAAAAAAAAAAAAAAAAAAAAAAAAAAAAAAAAAAGTAAGGGAAGTCTGAAAAACTTTACCCTTTAAAGAATCCTAAGGAAACATGACAACTAAATATAATGTGTACCCTGGATGATATTCTGGAACAGCAAAATGACATTAGGTAGAAACTAAGGAAATACAAATAAATGTTGAACTTTAGATAACAATTAACATATCAATACTGGTTCATTAGTTGTGGCAAATGCCCCACAGTAATAAGGAAATCTGACCACGTGTATATAAGAACTGTCTACAATATTCTTCCAACTTGCCTGTAAATCTAAAACAATTTTAAAATAAAGGTTTATTACATGTTAAAAAACAAAACAAAAATAACTATGGATTTGAATGAAGACACATAGAACTTACAAGAATTCCAGGTTTACCATTCTAAAACAAATAGGTCAATGTATACAGTTTTTAAAATACTACTTTTTAACCAATCAAAACTAACATGGATAAAATTAAACACAAAGAGAATCATGTTTGATTTGTGTGTTTTGTTATGTATCTCTTAAAAGTTTACTCATTTGCATTGGGCACATGAGAGCACCACAATAACAGGAAAGAGATCACTTAATCAATAGCACATCAATATATTTACAATTATGCCGTGGTCACTAAGTTTAGAAGGTAATGAGACAGTCTCCGTTATTGCAAATATAGTTCATTTGTAAAAGCTATACCATTTAAGGAAACTTTGTTTCCCATTTAATGGTTTAATGATGAATAAATACTAACAGAAAGTAAATCTAGAACACAGAGGCTGCCAATATAGCATTCAATGCATGAGAAGTTTTTCCCCCTTCACTGCATTTACCTTACTATTTATCTGAAATCTTCTAGGGGAAAGGTTCTCGAGTGGATTCTTAAGATACAGGCTGTCATTGTTTGCAAGATCTCAATGCTACCGCCTGTAAAATTGTATACACAAACTGGTGGGAGTAATAGCCAGATAACTGCCATGCTGTTTATGAGAGGAGGTTAAGGAGCTGGCCACTGAGGAAATACAGAGAAGAGAAGCCATGAGCCAATCACTCTGAATGATAATTTTTAGAAAAGAAGTGACCTTTAAAATTAACTATATTAGGGATTATGTAAGGTATTCAAACAGCATATCATATCTTCTGACCCTGCAAACACAATTTGGGGGGGTCATGTAAAACTCAGAATACAGATAAAGGTAAAGGCTATGTACTTTCTATTTATTCTAATTTTTATTGCGTTATTCCTATATGCCCTGTATAAAAAAAGCATTTCTCTACCCATGGAGTGTTCAAAATAATGAGATTCCTGGAGAGAGGAATATCTTGTATATTTTTGCTGAGCCTACAATTCAGGCCATACTCCAGTAGCTGCTGGTTCAGCACGATTGTGCCCTTTAGGATAAGAAACTTGTGAAGCAGGCTTCACTGGGTTATACGTCTTTTGCTTGGGGAAAGAAAAAAAAGAGGACAGTTTGTCCTTGGGAGTTATACTCTTGCCTATACAATAGGATGGGTTCTTAGTCACTGGATACTGAATTTGTAAAAGTCATATTGACAATAATAGTGCATATTATGTTTCAAGCTCATTTAATACGACATCTTCATGTCTTGATAAGGCATGTGTTACTATTTTTTCTATTTGCAAAAGATGAAACTGATGCACAGAGAGTTTAGAGTAATTATCCACAGTTACTCAACTATGAAGTGGCTGGGCACATATTAAAGTCCTATGAGCCTGATTTAACAGTCCGTGCTCATAAACCTGTATAATCATCAACATTAAAAAAATTCTAAATATTTTGTTATGAATAGCTAGGTTGTATTCCTGGCAACTAAAAGATTTCTACTACTTCTCTGACTTCAACCAAATGAAACAAAATAATAAACCATGGCTACCAGGGACAAAAGCATTAGTACACTGAGATCAATTTAGTGTAAAATTTTTACCATCTTCAGGACTAATGTAGCACCAAGAAGACAGGACATCTGGAGAACTTAGGTGAGCGTAGTTCTGGTAGAGAGACCTAACTGTCAAGTCTGATGATTCAGCCCAACATCATAAGATTCAGAATGGAACTATTTCAACGCTTTGTCATGCAAGGGTGAAACAATTTACATTAGGAGAGGGAAGCACAAAAAGTTTAATTTTAGTGTAATCATCATCAACATCATCAACATCATTTAGTGTTTGATTCCCTTCTCTGGTCCTCCAGCTTGCACACACTTGTACTTCCTTCCCTTCTTCAGAGGCACAATATTTACATGGTCTATATTTTTCCTAAACTGTATGAATATTTATATCAAGCATATGATATAAAACAAAGGCCTGAATGAAAATTTACCTACCAACTATTGTGAGAGGAAAGATACTCAGATGTCTTTCTGTTAAAACACAAGTTGATTCTCCAGATCTGCTCAAAATAACAAATGACAAGGCTGAAATCCATATGAAACTGAGCCCTGTGAGGCCTTCCTGGTGACAAGATCCCTCTTTGCCCCCTGTTTTTTGTTTGTAGGAAAAAAACTTTAGTCTCTTAGGTGTTCCCTGAGTTCCAAAGAGCAGACTCCAGCAGTTATTAATTAGAGACGTGATGAAATGCAGAAACAAAGGAAAAGCAATTAAGCAAGATAGCTTGAACAATAAATAGTTCTGCAATAAAATAGAGTCCTAGTTCCTCCTCAAGGGATATACATAACAGTCTGACTCCTATCTTTGAGCTGTTCTGTAGAAATTAAGACACCCCCCAGGTGGAGGATGGTGACTACATGCTGACCACAAGCACATAGACCCCAGATTGGCTGAAACCAGAACGTTGATGATTAAGATTACTAAAACACCACCCAGTTAACTCACCACCAACCAATCAGAAGAAAGTCATGCACCCTGCAACCCTAACCCCTAATGCTACCTTTAAAAACCCTTCCCTAAAAGCCATCAATACGTTTGAGTCTTTTGAGCACAAGCTGCTCATTTTCTTTGCTTTGCACCCTGCAAATAAAAGCTGTACTTTCCTTCATCACAACCTGGTGTCAGTAGATTGGTTTTGCTGCACTGTAGGTGAGCAGACCTAAATTCGTTTCTGTAACCTGCACACTGTGTCTCTGGTAAGAAGCATACATTGGCCGTGATTAAATGTGAAAGAGTCCTTACTCTTCTCTCTTCCCCATTTCATCTGGTATGTATTAGCAGATGGCAAAACTGTGAGCTGTCTTCAACTTGGAAATTGAGTTGAGTTTGGCCTAGACAGCTCAACATTCCTCTGAGCTTGACTAAACTTTACACTAGTTTTTTTACTGACTCTAGGCCCCTGACCACCTTTTCTTATATACTTTTGGAAATTTGCAATTGTAAATTCTTTCTCTGTCCCTTTGAGATGTAAATCTTCTCTCAAACTCTTGCCAGTTTTACAACCCAGGAATATCTTTCTTAAGGAACTGGGAGCCATCCCTTTACATTATAATCATTAGGAAAACTAGCGGTCCAGTCTCTAGGTCTCTATGCCAATTAGCAAACACGCATGGTCTAATCGCATTGACCAACCTCACCCCTAATATCCTCTCGTACATTTGCACTAGCTGACTCCAGCACTTAAAAATTTTAGTCCCTTCTGTTTCATTGGAGTTGAGTTCAATCCCTCTCCCTTATTGCAATAGTCTTGAGTAAAGTTTTTCCTCCTGTTTAACTTGTCTGGTGCAAATTTTTTTGATAGATTTTGTTACAAATGCATAATATTTAGATAAGTGATTTATGGATAGCTTAATCTAGATACATTTCCCATATTATTACTCTTTCTTTTTTGACAAATGACTCCTCTTTAAGGTCTTTAGTGGACATCCGCAAATTCTAAACTATTTAAAATCTATTTTTAATCACCATTTTAAACGTGTTTTTATTTGTTGTTGCTGTTGTTTCTCTTTATATATTCATCATATATCACAAAAAATTAGGAGAATATAAAAAACACACAAAACTCTGTTCTTATTTCTTTCTTTGTCAGCGTTGAGGTTGCTGAGTCACAGACTACATTCTTAAGCAGGAAGTTGTACATTCAGCTGCAAGCAAAAGTACACCTCATTCAAATTCCTCTAACCCACAGAGGCTTTTGTTAGTCATGCTGTAAGTCCAGATATAAGCCTTTTTAGGGCTTTTGACTGCTCAAAGATTTTATTAACACCTCATCTTCCTGTTTTCCTTCTTAACTGCTCTGGCATGTGTTTCTGTTCTGATGGCTATGACATGACTTCTGTCAATTCAGTTATTATATCCACATTTGAAAAGTAGAAGTGCAAGGTACAGCAACAAAGGTTGAAGCGTGGAAGGACTCCTTACAGTAAGTTTCTCCCTTTAGTAAACTTTCCTGGAAGTTAAGAGCAACTTCAGTTTATACCTTATTAGCCAGAATTAGGCCAAAAGACAAGCCCTAGCTACAAGGTATTCTAAGAAGTAAGTCTATATGTTCAATATCTATGGTAGATGAAGTTAAGAGAGAAAGACTATGAAGGACTTTGGAATAGTCAATATACAAAATCAACTTTAATACTTTTGTGTTTTATCAGTGTTATGCTATATAATCTACGTTAAAGTATGCATGTTTAATTTATTTATTTGTGTGTATGTTTCTCTCTCTCCTTCCCTCCCTCTCTCTCTCTCTCACTCACACACAATCACAATCACAAGTAAGCATCACTTTTCTATAGTGGCGATACTCTAGGAGGAGTATGTACAAAGCACTTGAAGAGGAAGAAAGGATTCATTCTTCCTAGACAAGACAGAAAGCACCTGAAAGGAAAGGTCATATTTGACTAGGCCTTGGAGGAGACATGTTCAGGAGCTGCAGAGAGAAGGGCAGATTAAAGGACATTGCAAGAAGGAGAATAGTGCATGGTATGTTCTGGGAGATGTAAGTAATTTAAGCTTTCCAGAGGTGACATTTTTCACACTTTTTAATGTAACACTTTTTAGAAGTGAGTCTTTTTTTTTTTTTTTTTTGTATTTTAATTCATCTAATGAACCCTTGGCAAGATGAGGATGCAAAGATGCAAACAGTACTGAACTTTACCCTCAAGGAATTTGTAGTTTCACATAAGTTATGGCAGTAATTGTGAAACAAAACAGATATTTTGAAATTTTACTTAAGTGACCTCTGGTTTAAAAATATACAAACCTCATTGAGAAAATTATCCTAATGATAGTCTATATTTATTATTTTGTAACAAGGTAACAGAATGTTGTAATCTCCAGGTATCTTTTAAAAGAGTTGTTTGAAAAGGGATTTAGGATCATAAGATGTTAAAATTGTATGTGGTATTTTTGTATATATGGGTAAACTCAGTCTTGTTGTTGTCGTTTGTTTTATTTTCCAGATCTATTAAGATATAATTGACATACAGCACTGTGTAAGTTTAAGGCGTACAGCATAATGACTTCATTTACCTACATCATGAAATGGTTATGAATGTGCATATTTTTAATATAGATTTTGAGGCATTTTCACAAATGTATGCACTCATGTAACCATCACTCAATAAAGACATAGAATATTCCATCACCACAGAAAGCTCCCTCAGGTCCTTATGCAGCAAATCCCCCCTAACTGGTTACTCCAGTCTACAGCTGATTTGACTTTTATCATTACAGATTATTTTTTCTGTTCTAGAAAGTCAAATGCATAGAATCATATACTATGCACTCTTTTGTGTCTCACTACTTTTACTATGGTGATCTTGAGATCCCCCCCCCATAATGCTAGACTATTAGTAATTGGTAACTTTTTATTGCCCAACAGTATCCTTTTGAAAGAATTGTCCTAACCTGTGTACCCACACATTCATAGGTGGATATATTGGTCATTTTCAGTACACAGTTACCATGAGTACATTTGCTATCAATACTCATACATGAGTTTGGTAAATATCTAGGACATGGAATTGCTATGTTATAGGTTAAGAACTTTTTAGTTTTATAAATAACTTCCAAGTTGTTTTCTAAACTGGTTGCACTGTTTACTCTCCCTTACATAGGGCACCAAAAGTATAGTTGTACACATCATAGTCAACTCTTGGTATTTCAGATCTTCAAACTTTAGGTATTTTAGAACATATATGATATATCTCATTGTGCTTTTTTTTTTTTTAACATCTTTATTGGAGTATAATTGCTTTACAATGTTATGTTAGTTTCTGCTGTATAACAAAGTGAATCAGCTATACATATACATATATCCCCATATCCCCTCCCTCTTGCATCTCCCTCCCACCTTCCCTATCCCACCCCTCTACGTGGTCACATAGCTGATCTCAGGAGCTAATTTCCCTGTGTGATGCAGCTGCTTCCCACTAGCTATCTATTTTACACTTGGTAATATATATAAGTCCTTGCCACTCTCTCACTTCGTCCCAGCTTACCCTTTCCCTGCCCGTGTCCTCAAGTCCATTCTCTACATCTGCATATTTGTTCCTGTCCTGCCCCTAGGTTCTTCAGAACCTTTTTTTTTTTTTTTCCTAGATTCCATATATATGTGTTAGCATACGGTATTTGTTTTTCTCTGACTTACTTCACTCTGTATGACAGACTCTAGGTCCATCCACCTCACTACAAATAACTCAATTTTGTTTCTCTTTATGGCTGATTAATATTCCATTGTATATATGTGCCACATCTTCTTTATCCATTCATCTGTTGATGGACACTTAGGGTGCTTCCATGTCCTGGCTATTGTAAATAGTGCTGCAAAGAACATTGTGGTACATGACTCTATTTGAATTATGGTTTTCTCAGCGTATATACCCAGTAGTGGGATTGCTGGGTTATATGGTAGTTCTAATTTTAGTTTTCTAAGGAACCTCCATACTGTTCTCCATAGTGGCTGTATCAATTTACATTCCCAACAACAGAGCAAGAGGGTTCCCTTTTCTCCACACCCTCGCCAGCATTTACTGTTTGTAGATTTTTTTTTTTTTTTTTTTGCGGTGCGTGGGCTTCTCACTGCTGTGGCCTCTCCCGTTGCGGAGCACAGGCTCCAGACGCGCAGGCTCAGCAGCCACGGCTCACGGGCCCAGCCGCTTCGCGGCATGTGGGATCTTCCCAGACCGGGGCACGAACCCGTGTCCCCTGCATCGGCAGGCGGACCCTCAACCACTGCGCCACCAGGGAAGCCCTGTTTGTAGATTTTTTGATGATGGCCATTCTGACTGGTGTGAGGGGATACCTCATTGTGGTTTTGGTATGTATTTCTCTAATGATTAGCAATGTTGAGCATCCTTTCATGTGTTTGTTGGCAGTCTGTATATCTTCTTTGGAGAAATGTCTATTTAGGTCTTCTGCCCATTTTTGGATTGGGTTGTTTGGTTTTTTGATATTGAGCTGCATGAGCAGCTTGTATATTTTGGAGATTAATCCTTTATCAGTTGCTTCCTTTGAAAATGTTTTCTCCCATTCTGAGGGTTGTCTTTTTGTCTTGTTTATAGTTTCCTTTGCTGTGCAAAAGCTTTTAAGTTTCATTAGGTCCCATTTGTTTATTTTGTTTTTATTTCCATTTCTCTAGGAGGTGGGTCCAAAAGGATCTTGCTGTGATTTATGTCATAGAGTGCTCTGCCTATGTTTCCCTCTAAGAGTTTGATAGTGTCTGGCCTTACATTTAGGTCCTTAATCCATTTTTTTTTTTTTTTCTTTTTGCGGTACGCGGGCCTCTCACTGTTGTGGCCTCTCCCGTTGTGGAGCACAGACTCCGGACGCGCAGGCTCAGTGGCCATGGTTCACGGGCCTAGCCGCTCCGCGGCATGTGGGATCTTCCCGGACCGGGGCAAGAACCCGTGTCCCCTGCATCGGCAGGCGGACTCTCAACCACTGCGCCACCAGGGAAGCCCTAGAGTTAGTTTTAACATCATTTAAGCTGAGGTCTCTAACTTTGTTATTTTAAGTGTTTTGATTTTTCATGTAAATTTAAAAATCAGCTTGTTGATTTCAGCCCACCCCCCCCAAAAAAAATTCTGCTTAAGATTTTGAATGAGATTGTGTTGAATTTATACGTTAATTTAAGGATAATAAACTTCTAAACCATTGACTTTTCTGATGTATAAACATTTTGTAGCTCTCCCTTTATTTATATATTCTTTAATTTCCCTCAGCAATATAATTTTATTGTAATGATATTACACTGATTTTGCTAAGTATATTCTTGAGCACTTTTACGTTATTGTATTTTTTTAATTTATTTTTTCAATTGTTTATTGCTGGTGGACAAAAATATATTTTTTGTACATTGACCTTGCCTCTATTACTCGACTAAATTTTATTATTTTGCTAGTAGTTTATTATTTCCTATCTTTATGGAATTTATTTATTTATTGTTTTTATGTTTTTATCTTGTTTCATGGGCTGTGATATTGAGTATGATATTGAGTATAAGTGGTAAAAGCAGAGTTTCTTTTTTTCCAGAAATTAGGAAAAAAGCATTTAGGCTCTCACCGTTATGTGTGCCATTAGCTATTGCATTTTTGTAGATGCATTTTATCAGGTTAGAGAAAACACTTTTTTTTTTTTCTTTTGATTCTGAAGTATTTATTGTCCTGATGGCACAGGGTGTTCACTGGGCAGCTTGGCTGCAGCCCAACTCCTCCCCTCCCCCCATGTGCTTTTACACATGTGTGTAAAGGAGAACCTTTTATTGTAAAGAGATTTTCAGTCTCTCGGGGAATAGGACCGGGGTTTTCTGGGGCCTCAGTCTTGGTCACTGGCTTTCAGAGTGGCTTTGTACTTCCCTGTCATTTCCTTGGGCAATGGCACCAGGCCCGGGCAGGGCACCTGCCCCTCCATGTCACAGATACACTCCCACAGCCAATAATTTTGGGGGCCAAAATGGGCTGAGTGAGAAAGCTGTTTTTTTCTCCTGCTCCTCTTTCTCGAGGGTTTCCTAATTCTTCCCCAGAATCTTTTTGATGTGCTCCACGATCTCCTTATTGCCCTTGGTCTCCTAGTTAGCAGAGAGTTTTTATCACAGAGGGATGTGGAATTGTGCCAAATACATTCTCTCTTTTGATTAAATGTTCATATGATTTTTTTCCTTTATCTTATACATGTGATTTCTATTTTGTTTCTTTAAAGTTTTCACAAATTTTCATTCCTAAGAGGAACCCTACTTTTTCATGATGCATTATTCTTTTTGATATATATTATTGTTTGTTTTGTTGAAATTTTTTGTATTTATGTCTTTTGTAGATAATGTTCTGAATTCATCTTTATTCTTATGCACTTGTCATCCGCTGATAACAGTATGACACTGACCTTATATTATTATTTCTAACATGATCCATCCCTCGTGTTTCTGTTCTG